TATATGTATATTTATATATTGTTAAAGGTACAACTCTTTGAGGGCAACCATAATGCTGATGTGGCCCGCGATGAAATTGAGTTTGATACCCCTGCTCTAACGAGAAGTGCAAAACAGCAGAAAGTGCAGAGTTGTTCAAGTATAATATAAATATATATGTATATATATGTATGTATATGTATATGTATGTATGTATGTATATGTGTATATATATATATATGTGTGTATATATATATATATATATATATGTATGTATGTATGTATATATATATGTATATATATATATATACAGTACATGTGACGGATCTAAACAAACTGAATGTATTTACACTGTGAACATTATGAGAAGGTATACATATTAATAAACAGCAGTATAGAAGTTGATGTAAATATATATTGAGGTTTTACAGTAAATAATACTCATAATTATTTGCTTATTTGAATTTGTGCTGCTGTGTGTTTATTCTGTTTCCTGTATATCATTTGAATCACTAATGTATGAAGAATGATGATGAGTTGAATGTTGAATAATAGACACTAGGGGATACATTTGGTAATTTCCTTTCTATTTTTATGAAGATTCCTTATTTTCATGGCTGCCATTTACCTATTTGTATTATTTTTGTCATAACATCTCTGTGAAGATGCAGACTGCTCTACAAGTGCTCGTCGTTTAGACAGCTGACGATCCTGTACGACTCCCCTCAATGTGGACATTGTTTCAGTACATTAGCTCATGTCTCCCTGCTTAAATATGCCAGAGCAAAGCTGCCACAGCACACAAAACAAGTCCACTGAGAGCTGTGGCTTCCGCTGCTTCATACCCTTTATGGCAGAGTGTGGAAAATAGGGTTATACTGTACATAGCACGAAGAGTGACGGTGGGGGAAGACAGAAGGAGAGAGAGACAGGATTTGTTCCCTGTTAAAGATGTTGATAAGAAGCTCCTCCATTGTGTGTCCTTTTCATGTGTGTAGCCCTAAAGAGCCACTGGTGGCCTAGTTTCTGTGGCTATATTTGAAATGTCAGTTTGGACAGCTGTAAGGGTTTTAATAGCATGCAGAATATTGTCTAAATCAATGGAGTGTCGGTATGTGGGTTTTCACATTTATCTGTGCTCGCTTGCCTCTAGCCTGTCCAATTATATACAGCGCCAAGAGATGTTTTTCTTACAGAAGACCCTGTTTACCCGTCCCTCATATTTGAATATATTTGCATTATTTACCATATATTAATCTGTCTGCTCTTCATATCTGTCAATTTTTATAAAGCAAACCTTTTGATATATCTTTTTGCTACGGCAGTGTCGTGTTTATTAGGCCTGCAGCGATAAGTCTGAATGGGTGAGATTACTTTGAAATATAGTCAGTTACTGAATACAAATGGTATTTTTTTAAATTAGTAATGTTAACCATTAGATAACAATAAATACTTTTTTTAAACCTTAAAGCAAACATTGAAAATAAATAATGCACCTTTTTATACTAAGAAAAAGAATGCTTCCTCAAATAATTGTTATTCAAAAAATGGCCATACTGTAAAGATTTGATCAAAAATGTAAGCATGTAATCTCTCTAATGTCACTATAATCAAATTGCACATGTTTCATATGAAATTGGGGCTTAATTTGCTTATGATTTGTAACCTGAATACCTAATCCTGATTTATGAAATATGTTACTACTCACCCCCTTTACTTTGTCCTAACAAGTAAATGAAATTATTGTTGGTTTTTGATTGTTGGTCAGACACCTTGGACACCTTGGACTTTAGAAAATGTGATTAACTGAAAATGGAATGCAGTTTAATCGATTATGAAAATATTCATTAAAGTTGCATTCTGAGTAGTGTCACACTTGTCAAATTCACTTTTAAGCCACAATTAGAACCAGTAAATTACCATTACACCTGTGTGGAAGGACTCGTGTGACACTACTCTTAAATGTGAGCAGAGTATTGTTTCCCACATTTACTCTCTAAGCAAATCTTTTGTATTGGTGGACAGGATGCAGTCACTATCTGTACTCTGGGGATCGGGACGGCGTTCGGGGAGTCCATCCTGGACAACACACCACGCCACGCTACCATCGTCAGCAGGGAGACCAGCGAGCTGCTCCGTATCGAACAGAGGGAATTCAAGAGCCTCTGGGAGGTGAGAGAGAATCTGTGTGTAGCTGTGAGTGTGAGCAGGAACTTAATGATTCAACATGACCTCGATCTTCTTGGTACCTAAAGCTTTCCATCTCAGAATACGTTTCTCTATTGAAACGACAATTTCCAGCCAACCTCCCAATGTAATTGTGCCTTTAACCACAAGAGGGCTGTCCTCCATAAGGACACCTGCTGCACCTATAAGACACACACCTCAGGAGCTGGATGTTTATAGTATTTAAAGTATAAAGCATGATGATCCATATACAGAATGTGTTATACAGTATCTTTATTGCAGGCAGTGTAGGGGGAATCTAAAAGTGATATATGTAGGGATCCCTTGGCTACTATTGTCTGACTCTGAACATATTACCAGTGTGTGCTCGAGTTTCCTCCTGGGCTCAAGTGCAGGTGTTTTTAACACATTTTGATTGTGTTACAACCGTTACATAGAGAGGATTGTATTGTCACATCATGTAGACCGGTTGTAATGAAGCTCTTGCTGATTAGGGAACGTAGACAACAATATGGGATGTCTATTCAGGACATGGAAGGCAGGTTAATTAATTAACTGGATATAGATATGGATAGATGCACAGGCACTCAGGTAATACAGTAATACTGAAATGTGTATGTGTGGTTCTAAAAGAAAGAAAGAAACATCAGCATTAACTAAAATTAAATGTACAATTCTCTACAATCAAAAGTTCAGTTACTTATACACACATAAAAGGTTTATAAACTAACTAACTAACAAACAAATACATAAACAGATGGTAAACCTATAACTTAACTGTACAAATGACTAATAGAAAACTACTATTGAAATAACAAAAACACTTACTGTTGGTCAAGGAGGCACACAAACAAACTGAGACTTCACTGTGAATCTGAACAGCCAGCTGCTTTTTTGAGCCAGCAAACACGAATTTGAGGACGTTGTGGTCTAGCTACAGATTTCATTGTCTCTGCTCATGTATAGTCCCATTAGGTGAGCCTTTTGTACACAGGTATTCTGACCGGTCACTGCAGGAACAGCACAGGTAACACTAATGACTGCTGTCCTTTGATTAACATTATATTACTTACACCTGGGCTTTTTCCTGCTTTGCCAAGTTAAAGTGACCTAATGAGATAAAACACATCACACCTGTGATGGAAACTTCTGAAGCAATGGAGACAGGACTCAGAGAGACACGGGGAGAGCAGGAACTTTGATGGCAAACACTGACGGTTTATTTGGAGCTTCAGCCGGAGAATTCACAAGACATGTCGTATGCCACGAGTTGACACAGCGGATGCCAAACCAGTTCTGAAGATCTCTACCCCAGACCCATGTATTTAGCTAGTTCTGAGAGAATAATCAACATTGTGCACAACAAGATAAAGCACTATGACACCTCTATCAGCTGACGCCAACAGGCAGGAACAGGGAGACAAAACACTGAGAGCACAGCAGCCCAAGGTTGCAGGTGCCTGTTCTCAATGAGGGTAGTACAAACTGATAAACTGGGTCAAAGTTATGGGCCCAGGAAAATATTTCCCAAACAACACCTAAAGAGGGGGGAGAAGCCAGTTAAACTATAGCATGAATGATTTAGATCACTCCTGAATATAAATACTCTGCAAATATATCGGATATAATATAGCGGAGACTGTATCATATTGGAACGATCAACTTTGGACTTCACGCTGGAATCTTTTATTGAGCGTTGGTAATGAAGTGGATGTCTCTCAGTGGGCCTCCTTGTCGAGGTCAGCCCCTCCATTCACCGGGTCTCTCTCAGACAGGAAGTGCTGGCAGAGCAGTGGATTTGTTTATTGTTGTTTTTATGTGTCTGCTATGTGGTTTGATCATGCTGTCAAGTCCAAAACATCCAGTTTTCCTTGAGAAAAAACAGCAGTTATATTAGATATGAATAAAAGAAATTTACTAGATGTGTGTTTTTTTTTTGCTTTTGACCAACCACTTTGTAAAATATTTCTCTAAAAAAGATATGCTGCTTTTTTGGTTTCAGTACAAAACAGACTAAATTATTCATTGTTGCAATTAAAAATAAATAATGACCTCCTCTCCAGTTTGGAGAGGAGATGAATATAAACTAGATGAATATAAATTGGGTTTAATGGAACGTGATATCTGAACTTTAGGACACAGGAAGATACGAAAGCGAGATTAGACAATCATTGGTTATTAAAGCGTGTGTGCCCTGTTATTATTGAGCTCGGATTGAGTTTGTTTGTCAGCTAAGTGCACTCAGCCCCCTATCTGCTGTCTATTCTTGGATTGTAAAACATAGCCTGAGGTTTTAAATCTCATTCAGCGCATAATAAAAGGGTGTGTGTGTGTGTGTGTGTGTGTGTGTGTGTGTGTGTGTGTGTGTGTGTGTGTGTGTGTGTGTGTGTGTGTGTGTGTGTGTGTACTAATTTGTGTGCATGTGCTTGTGTGTGACGAGGACTATAGAGCCAAAGGATAAATTCAGTCATGTGTTTGATGAAAGGATAAAAGTAAAAAAAAGCGCTGCTCCATAATTCAAACACCAAGTGGAGAATAACAGGATGAATAAACAACAAGGTATAAATGTTAAACAGCGTTTCTGACTGATATGTAAACCTGTAAACACACAATATATCAGACAGCTGATTGGTTGGCCTGTACTGTGGCAGGCTTGTATTGTAAGTCTTTCTCACTTTATTTCCCTTTCACCTGCTCTACTTTTCTCCTGCCCACTTCCTCTCTATTGGCCATGTTCTGTCTTTTGCCAGTCTCCTTCCTCTCCTCCCTCTCTCTCCTCACCCTCTTTGTCTTTTCTGTCTCCTTTTCTCTGTCTCCCTCCTCCCTCTTTCTCCTCGATCATAGCTCGATCATACAAGGATTCGGATCACCGTGGTAACCTGTGAGAGGAAAGTGGTTTGGTTTTTGGCCGGATCGCGGCGAGAGAGGGAAAGTGAGAGACAGAGAGATACACTGGGGCGACTGTGTGCGAGGGCGAGAGAGAGGGAGAGGGAGCAGCTTGTTTTGTGCAGGATACTATCCGGTGGCTTGTGTGTGAGTTGTAAAGGAGCATAGGGCAGCTCTCTGGGGTTTTAATTCCCTCGGCATTAGGCTGAAGTGTGTTCCTTCAGGTGAGTCGTACTCCTCCATGTGGGAAAATTAGATTACCGTAATGTTTTCGTTCTTTATTTGTGTTGTCTTTTACCTCATTAAGTTGTTTAGCCATGTTGATCCTGGTTAAGTGTGTGTGCAAGAAAAACATTATCTTGGAAGTCCTTGTTTTATTTAGGTCAAACAGATCCCTTTTCTTTCTCTCTCTCTGTAAGTGTATGAGTTTGTGTGTGTGTGTGTGTGTTTTCAAAGGCATTATTTATCAATGACCTTGCAGAAGTAGAGCTATGGCACACTCAAAGTAACCTGCTGTGTTTATTTCTTGGAGAGTCACGGCTTTACAAATGCAAATACAGTTTATTGTTTCAAATGCTGTAGGAGCATCATCTCTACAAACATTTAGAAGCACCCGATTATCTCATTAACCCTGTTTTTCAATGCTGCTGTGATGTGTGTGTGTGTGTGTGTGTTGTATAATGTTAGTTGTTCTGCATGTAAATGATCTTGATTGTACAAAGGGCTTTGTTTTGAGGGCACTTGCAGCGTGTGTTTGAAACAAACACTTTGTGTGTGTTGGAGAAAGACGGAAATAAACGTAATGGGTTTTGACGTTGAATAACGGACGATTTCTTACAAATTAAGTAATAATAGGAGGTACATTGATAAGATAGACACACTGATGCAAGTGTACCTTTGTTTTGTAGAAGTATCGTCAGAGCCTGGCTGGACTGTTGGCCCCTCCCTATGGAGCTATGGAGAGTGGATCCAACAATGACAGTGAGTACACACTGTAAATATAAGCACTGTAAATATTTCTTTATTGTTTAATTACTAGTGTGTTTACTTATACATAAACAATGCATATAGTAGCTTAGCATATTGAAAGGTCATATAATAAATGATAAATGAGAGTAATGTAACATAAGTATTTTATATTGAAAAGGAAAGAAAGGCATTTAATTTTTGCAAAGAAAATAACATAGACTAGAAAATGTTGAATATATTTTTATTTTACTCCTACTTCCTTTTCAACACATTATACTTTAGTATAGTGTTAGTCAGGATCTACAGTATTAAATTAATCCCAGCATTTTTGTTGTGATTTCGGATTTCGGGTTTTATGCCGGGATTGGATTTGGGCTTTAAAGGTTAACTTCATTGTGAACTCACTTTTGTCCAATTTTCATGAATCCAAAATCCTAAGAAGGCCTTGAGGGATTTTCCTAAAATTTAGAACAAACATTCATTTGACCGGAGGATTAACTGATTAGATATTGGGGATCAAAGGTCACAAAACACATTGCTTGCCATTATTAATACACTAATTAGGACTATTTAACACAAATATCTATTTAGTAAAATTATGAGGCGATTTTTAAGCGGACATGAATGTGAGCTGCAACTTGATAGGTTGGAAGACGCAAGCAGCCCTATAGAAGTTGTATTCTAGTTCAGCACTTTCTATCTCAGCTACATAAGGAATCTTTTATAGTCATAGTTTTTGGAGGGAAAAGTATTTGTAAGAAATCTTCAATTTAACTTCAACATTTGTTTCCTCCTCAGGACTCACAGACAGAGACAACATGAACTCAGACTCTGCAAACAAAACCCACAACAAGGTAATCACTCTCCACAGCTCACTGCCCCAAACCTGAAGGTCTGACGGCGCTTTGTCTAGGAAGTAAAAAAAAGTTCTGCATGGCAACTTGATCCTTTTAATAAACTCTGCCAGCATGTTTTGGAGAGCTATGCCCTTCCTCCCGGCACACAAAGCATGAATGAACCAAAGTCACAACAACCAATATACTGTGGGCCAGGCCGCCTCACTGTGTCCTGAGTTCCTCTGCGCCTCACTGCTTGTGTCAGAATATCTATAGAGACAGGGCATTGAGGTTTGAGGAACATTTACATTTTAGTCTTGTATGTTTGATAGAGCTGGTGGAAGATGAGTAATATTGGGATGTTTGCCAAAATGCTAAATCTGAATAAGGTTTTAAAAACACGATCCAGGAAGTCTTGCTGGATTTTAGGTGGTGGAGGCAAAGATTTATGCTGTGAATTATGCAGGGAGAATAAAATAAAATCAACCAGTGTCATAAAATTGTTCACTGCAGCATACTTTCATGTTCGTGAAAGAATCAGAATGAATTTTGGAGGTGTATGCGTTCGGATAAGGGACGATGATGAATCACAGCTGTGTTCCTCTGTAGTTATGCTAATGCAAGCTAATGCATGCACGTAGAAGAAAGATCCCATCTGCCCAATTAGCAAGCCTTTCATTTGTTGTTTTCAACAGCAGCTGTGTGTGTGTCCACATCTGCTTTAACGCTCTCTTTCTAAGGTGCAGGTGTGATCTGTAGAGGATGATATGGGTTTTTTGGTACAGTTTTATTTTTATTTGGCTGTTTAGTGCTATCACAAGCGCAAGTATTAACTCATGGATTAAAGTTAACAAACCAAATTGTGTGTGTGTGTGTGTGTGTGTGTGTGTGTGTGTGTGTGTGTGTGTGTGTGTGTGTGTGTGTGTGTGTGTGTGTGTGTGTGTGTGTGTGTGTGTGTGTGTGCACAAAACAGTGTGTAGAAAATACATCAATCTTTGTGCAGACACTGATACTCAACATTTATATTTTGCCAAAAACATGCCCCAGAAGCATTCAATTGTCTCTCCAAATCCGCTCAACAGTCCGCAGCTCCACACTGTGATCCATCATGAAAAGGACCATCATCACACAGCGGAGTGTGTGAGGATGGTCCTCGCCTACACACTGATACAGTCTGACAGGAAGTGATCATAGAAACAAGCCAGCTCTCTGCCCAGTATCCTCAAGGATTATCTTTAATGTTTCATTTGAAACACATATCAAACGCTACTCTTCAGTGTCAATGAACCTTTACAATCAGAGTTCATTCAATCTGGTTCATTTCCAAGTAGGTTCAAACATACGAGGAATTTGCCCTGGTGTGTACATAAACCGTTAAAGAAAACAAATTACAAGAAAAGGACCAATACATAAAACAACTATAAAAAACGATATAGAAAATGGGGGGTTACGTATTGTAACCCTAGTCATAAGCACATGCTATTGCGGGGTGGAAACATGCACCACTGGGCGCTGTCTCCTGACCCCCTGCAAAATGTGCGCCATCAGCGGCTGACTAAAGGCTGACCTGTCACCCAATCCCTCATGGCAGGACGAGATACACCTTCATTGTGGAATGAGCAAGCCCCCTGTCCACCAGTATCTGTAAATAGGAAAGAATAGAGCCCAACGTACATGATAGAGGCTCTGGACTCCTTTCCTCACACCACCGCTGGAATCCCAGCCACTTCGGCCTGTAACAGGCTGTGGTGGGTCCTGCTCTTGCTGCCTGGATAGTCTGAATAACTTTGTCAGACAGTCCCTCCTGTCTCAGCCTGTCCCTCTCAGGAGCCAAGCCCGGAGAGGTTGGCCCAGAGTGGGTAACGCCCCTATTGCACCTGCGGTGGAAAGGCGTAGAGCAGCTATCTTGGCCATGGCTCGTGTGCAAACGTGTCCACCCCCCAGGGTGGATTGTCCTGCCGAGCCAGGGAGAACCAACATTCGTCTGGCAGGGGCCCGCCTCTTGACATGAGGCCGGCCGCCCTCTCTGCACTGTGTGCTCGCACAGAGCACATTTAATAGACCAACTAGTACTCACCTCTACGAGCTATGAATCAACACAAGAACGGTCCATTTCGTGGCGTCAAGAAAGACGGAGACGTTGTAATAGTGTGTAACATAAGTTTCCAAGAAAGAAAACCTGCCTCCCAGTGTTTCCCCGTAACATAGAGTCACAGATGCCCCGGGGACACTCGGGGAGGTCCTTGCGACTAGCGGTAGTCGTGAAATATAAGGGCCGTTTATTACCTTTCGCGCCGAATACTTGTGTCGTATCTACCCTTATGGGATGTGGGATTGGATGAAGGGGATTGTATTGTCATAAGCAAATACTGTTAACTCGTAATTTTTTTTTTTTTTCGTTATTTCGCGTTCCATTTCCTAGTGTTCGTTTGTGAGTCTTTATAAATGAAATGCAATGATAAAATACGTCCCAATACGTAAGCCACCTCCGCAGCACTGAACTTTACTCGTCTTTTTTTTGACTCTTATAATTCCTAGTTATTTTTTCTGATTCCCTGGTAAAGATCCGTTTATTTTGATTTCACCAAAAGCCAACTTACTTTTATGAAAAACAGCTACTGACGCGTAAATCTAGGGTCTTTACCTCATCCGTGCTTGCCTCCACTCTTTCAGGACTCGTGCTCGCCCGTCCACCACCTCTTGGTGTCTCGCGACGTGCTTGGAGGGAGCCGTCTGGTGGACTTGTGGTCGTGTTTGAGACTGTGTGAGAGCGTTCCCTTGAGTCCCTGTCCTTGTGTAGTTATGTTGTATCTGTGTTGACACTACTGTAGTTACGCGTGACCTCTGGGACTGTTGGTGTTCTCAGTAGTCAGAGCTAGATTAGGAGTTTGTCATCGTTTTTGTGACTCATCCCTGACAGTGCAAGGAAGTTGTACTAGCGACACTAAGTTGACCAAGGTAGCTATAGTGCACGTCGAGATAGGACCCGTTTAGGAGGCAGGGTACTCAATGGCGACGATACGGCTGTCAGAGACGAGGTGGTGTGACGACTGATTGGAGTGAAGTGTGTGGAACTCCTGTAGCAGACTCTCGTCTGAGCGACTTAGACGTCGCAGTTCTAGACTCGAGCTGAGTAGCCGAGTAGTGGGGTTAGTAGTGGGTCGTGGTTGATAGAGCGCGAGTAGGAAGCGACGGGTCAATTGTTGCGAGCACACAGATTGGAGACCGAGGGAGGAGCAAGCGTGGTGCGAGTATTGTGCTAGTCTGGGCGTGGCGGAAGAAAGTAGGAGCCTTCGTGACTGTAGGTCGAGGCGAAAGTGGACAGGGTTGCGTGACTTAGGACAGGGTGAGTAAGCAGGTAGCGCTACTAATGATGTACGATGAAGACTTACCGAAGGGTAGTTGGAGGCTAGTTATTCTTCGCAGCGTGAGTATTTAGTCTCTAGAGAACGACGGGCTAGTTTAGTGGGCGGTTGTGAGTACATGCTGTGTGTAGAAGGAGGTAATGAGAGAGTCGAGTACGACGAGGACATGCGATGGAAGAAGCGTGTATGTCTTCTTGATGGAGAATCGGAGGTATAGAGGCATATAGTTCGAGAGGTATTAGGGAACGAGGTAGATGAGTGGCTGGAGGAGCGCATATAGCGTGGCAGAGCGGGTGCGAGCGAGAGAGCAGAGGCTTGTATAGAGGCAGTGGCTTCGAGACAGACTGTTGCAACACCCTTAATATCAAAACTACCCGGCGCGCTGCCGCGAAATGGTAACAGGTATGGAGCAGTTCGTTAGACTAGCAGACAGTGAGGACCGATGGCACCATCGAGTACGGTAAATAGTTTGGACCGTACCGAGCTGACGGACGAACAGTAGTCTGACATGTTCACGCGAGGCGGGGTGCCTCTCACAGATCTTGAAAGAGTACACGCGCGTCTGCTGAGTGTCGTGCGTCCCGCTCAGCTCGAGCTCGATCGAGGGAGTGCCTATCTACGACGTTCCGCCCCTGACAGTCAGAGATGACAGAGATGCGCCGCCGTATCACGCGAGCGAGGCGCCCATACTGAGTCGCGCTTTCGTACAATTACAGTGCGGCGAAACGCATTTACGCGCACATTTTCGTATAAAGAGCACACATAATCGAACAAACGCGAGATCCACTTATAACTGGTTTAGACCTGAGGTATCTGCGATATGCCACACCGACCGCGAGCTGTCTGTGCAGGCGTGTAGTGCGAGGATCTCGATGCTCGTCCATCCAACCAGGGGAGCGGGACGTTTGGAATGATGTCCGGTTGTACACGACCACTCATCGCTGTGGCGCGTGGGGTCACCGGCATGTGAGTTGTCCGTCCTGCCTCAAGTCGAGGCGGCGCGGAACAATCGCGGTGTCTCTTGTGACACCAACACCGGAGTCTCTTACAAAAATAGAGACGTTCGGGGTGTAAAGCCTGNGTGCATGACAGAGGCTCTAGACTCCTTCCTTCACACCATCGCTGGAATCCCGCCCACTTTGGCCTGTAACAGGCTGTGGTGGATTCTGCTCTTGCTGCCTGGATATTCTGAATAAAGTTGTCAGACAGTCCCTCCTGTCTCAGCCTGTCGCTCTCAGGAGCCAAGCCTGGAGAAGTTGGCCCAGAGTGGGTAACGCCCCTATTGCACCTGCTTCCTGAGACAGCGCTCCCCAGACCTGAGGAATCGCCCAGGGCTGGCCCACCATCTTCTGTGTTACCTCCGCGTACCACGGTGCCAGGCGGCGACCTGGCGCCACTAGGATGACTGACAGACGTTCCCGCCTCACCCTCTCCAGGAGGGAGGGATAAGGTGCAGCAGTGGAAAGGCGTAAAGCAGCTTTCTTGGCCCTGCTCGTGTGCAAATGCGTCCACCCCCAAGGGCGGATTGTCCCACCGGGCCAGGGAGAACCACAGGGCACAGTGGCTGTTGCGCCTATGGGCGAACAGGTCCATCTCTGCCCTTCCGAACCAGACCTGCTTCAACACCTCCGGGTGAAGCCTCCATCGTCTGGCAGGGGTCCGCCTCTTGACATGAGGTCGGCCCCCCTGTTCTCCCGTCCCGGGATGTGCAGGGCCCTTAGAGACAACACAATCTGTGAAGCCCACAACCACAGGTTCTCTGCTGCGGTCAACAAGGCTATGGAGCGGACTCCGCCCTGCTTGTTGATGATGTTGCCACTGTGGTGCGGCTGTCGCTCCTCACGAGCACATGTTTGCCCTGTATTAAGGGTTTGAAGTGCTGTAGGACCAACATCACTGCTTGCAGCTCCAGGAGGTTGCTGTGCCGTCCCTGTCAGAGGCCAGCAACCACCTATAGCTCTCTCTTGGCATGTCCCCCCCCATCCTGTCACTGAAGCGTCTGTGAAGACTGTGGTATAGGAGGTCACTCGCCCCAGTGGAGCTCCCCTCCGCAGATTCTCTGGGGACCCCCAGAATTTGAGGTTGCTCTCTACTGAGGGGGGGATGGTCACCAGATGCCGTTTGTGCCTCTTGGGATCTAAACGAAGGCAGATAAACCACCTCTGCATGCGGCGTGTATGCAGCAGTCCGAGTGGCACTACGGAGTGAGCAGCTGTCATGAGACCCAAAGTCTGCATGATGATCAAAGCTGTCACCGTCGCCCCCTGACGCAGCCTGCAGACTGCCCGCAGCAGGGATGCCTGTCTGCTTTCTGTCAGGGTGGCACATAGTCTGCCTGCATCGAGCATCACCCCCAGATATTCTACCTGCTGGTGAGGTATGGGGGAGCTCTTCTTCCAATTGACCACAAAACCCAACTTTGTTAGGTGTAGGATCAATTGGGCTGTGTGAAACATTGCCCATTCCCTGGACCTGGCCATGACTATGAGGTCGTCCAGATAAAAGAACACCCTCATGCCATGGTCCTGCAGCGGTTGCAGCGCAGTGGCTGAACGTGCGTGCGGGGCAGAGCTCTTTTTAGCTCTCTGCCCAGCCTGCTGTCTGCTGGGAGCAGCCATGGTCATCACCTAGGGCGGTGGACCTCCATGGACCGGACCCGGAAGTGCCCGACAACGGCAAACGGAGCCATCCACCCCGCTGGAATGGCGAACGTGAATGGCACCGCCTCGGCCATATCCTGGTCCCCCAAACACTCGAAGCAGAGGCGCCCGCTATTTAAGCCAGGGCACGAAGGACAGGCCCGGGTCTCTCCATGGAGGTGTGATAACTCTTTCTTCTTCTTTCAAATGTTTCACTTTCTCTGCAGTTGTTACTCGCTCGCTGAAGAGAAAAAGGATGGTGGGCAGAGGGTGTAGCTTTATATACTGAGGGCCTGCGCACGCATTCAGGTAGGCTCGCCCCGATTGGCCGGCTACGTTTACGTAACTCAGTAGGTGAAAGCACGCACAGCATGATAGAGAGTAGTACCCATAGAGTCCAGTAGAGGGCGGAGCCTGTGTGAAATATAACATTTAAATAAATAAATAAATAAATACGTAAACCACGTATAGGGCCTTGTACACTACTTACACCATTTCTAATTTTCATATCATTAATAACACAGTGTGTCAGTTGCTCTTATATTCATGTTATCGTTCTAATTATTATCTTAATTTGTACAGCTTATGCTGCTTTTCTTTGCATTTAAGTCTTACGCTAGCAGCATAATGTGTACAGATTACACTTAGATTTTTTACATATTTTAAATGTTTTCCCATAGTGTGTCATTGAAACACTCTATATGCTTCTGCAAATTGACCCCAGAGGAAAACTAAAGAGTTTTAAATGTAATTAAACTTGAATTTATTTGAATGACAAATGTCTGTTTACACTAAATGATGCATGCAGCAGCTTTGGGAGATGTTGTGGTTTGTCTGTGTTGCAGACAGTGTTGCGTGGGCACAGAGCTGGTGGACTGGTTGGTGCTGCAGAGCGCCTGTGTTCTCACCCGCTCCCATGCTGTTGGGATGTGGCAGGCGCTACTGGAAGAAGGAGTGCTCAACCACGGTAACTAACACTATTTCCTCATAGTGCTGTTTAGTTTCACTACACTGCATAGCTGTCATAACGTCCAATAGTCAGTTCCCAATCCTCTATTTCAAAGCAGCCATTAATGTGTCTCTCTTTTACTCTGAATTGGAGCAGTGGTAATACTAAAAATGAACATCTATCGCAGTGAAAGTATCAACATGAAAACCAGTCTAGTAATTAATTAGACGTTTTGAAGCAGGAACATAAAATATAGTCAATCTAAGATTCATACACTTCAAAGAAGATGCCTGAAATGATGTCCTGATGAAAGAAAAATATGAAATCACTGAAAGGAAGAAAATTGTGATCCAGTTTCTATCTAATATCCTATAATGTGATATTACTGTGAGAGTATTGTCCCAGATGTTACTGTGACAGTAGTGTTACATACATTAGTTTGCTGACACACAATAAACCTTCTGTAAGAGTGCATGGAAAAATACAATTTCACCTGTGGGAACACATATAAAAACATCCTATTAAGAACATGGTCCTGTGGCTCAATTCAGCCTCTTGTGGTTGAAATGAGAATTGTGGGTGAAACTTCTGAAGCAATTGGAGTCAGGACTCTGAGAGAGAGACACGAGGAGAGCTGGAGCTTTGATGGCAAACACTGACGGTTTATTTGGAGTTACAGCCGGAGAATTCACAAGACATGTCACGGGCCACAGTTTGACATCACGGTTGAGATGCCACAATCAATTCTGAAGAACTCTACCCTAGACCCATGTATTTAGCTAGTTCAGAGAGAATAATCAACATTGTGCACAACAAGATAGAATCATAACACCTCTATCAGCTGACGCCAACAGGCAGGAACAGGGAGACAAAACACTGAGCTCAGTCAGGACAGTATGAACTGATAAACTGGGTCAAAGTTATGGGCCTTGGAAAATATTTCCCCAACAAGAATTAAGCGTTTTTTTCCCCCTACTGTACCTGTTTCAAATCTATCACCATTTTGTTCACTTACTTCTATATCTGAGGTTACTAAAATCACTTTGCATGCACCGACTGCTTGTTCATACGTGTACAATGTGTCTGTCTGCTCTTCAGTGGACCAGGAGCTGGGTTTCCAGGACAAATACCTGTTTTACCGATTTCTTGACGATGAGGAGGAGGACACTCCATTGCCCAGCGAGGAGGAGAAGAGGGAGAGTGAAGAGGAGCTGCCGGAGACCATCCTCTTCCTCGCTCAGATTGGCCCTGACGCACTGCTGCGCATGATCCTCCGGAAATCGTCAGTAACAGTTCATTGTAGTGCTTGAACTTACATTAAACTGAAAATCACAATTTCCTGGGTATTACATTCAGTAAAAACAAAACATGTTAAACCAAATGTAATCCCGAACAAACCTGTATAATAATAATACTATAATGTATAATATTATTGTTAAAGCCAGTATTTTGTTTTTATAAGAAAGACCACCTAATCGTGACGTCTGTAGTCAACTAGACTAGAGCATAAAAGACTACAACTCCCACGGCACCTCCTCTAAAGTGACAGTGATGGGCAACCTGCTAGAAAGACGCCGTCGAGGCACAGTTTTTAACCGTCCAATTATCCTTTATGTTATCAAGTTATATAAGCCTTATCAAGAAAGAAAGAATACCTACTGTAAGTTGTTTGTTATTTTATTTGAGTTTTGCCTATTTGTTTTGAATATTGTAAAGGCCTCTTTTCTTTGTTGCATGTGTAAAAGTTTGTTATTTTATTTTGAGCAAACACATGGCCTAATATCATCCAAACCATCGGAGGCCAAGCAACTCTTCAACTGTAAGTAATATACATGTAAAGGAAAGAAAACGAGTTAAGAAATGTCTGTTTAAGGCGTCTAGTGGCTTGATAGAAGGAAGGAAGCCACGACAATTATGAACAAATCATCTGTGGGGATTTCTTCCCAAAGACTTGATTTTAGCATTAGGATGTCATTATACATTTTTTTAATTCAGTTTAATAGAAGGTGAAGCATGCATGAAATGTCCATGGTGAGTTGATGATGACGAACTCCTGCGTGTGTCCGCAGGCCCGGTCAGAGGACAGGGGACGACCTCGAGATCATCTACGATGAGCTGCTCCACATCAAGGCCTTAGCTCACCTCTCCAACACTGTGAGTCACACGCTGCACTTTTCTTAAAGGGACAGTAACGGTTTGCAGGAAGGCTGTTCATTCATCAGAACCACCTGCTACAGCCTTTTGTATTTAAGACCAGAGGGAGACATTGTAGTCACTAGCGTTAGCGTTTATCTCACCAGTGTAATGGGACTGGTACGTTTTAACAACAATCTGCAATGTGTTGGCAGACTTTCATCTTGTGGAGGAGTCTTTTGAGTCTTTGGTTAGCTGCTGTTTTCATGATCCTATAATCAGTATTATGTTTATTATGTGAAATCCCATTAAATGCAGTTTCATTCAGGAGATTGAAGTGATTCACAAAGAATGTGTTTATGACGTTGTTATTCCTTATCTTTTGAACATGGTGCTTATGAATATGAATTTCAGATGACTCAAAGTGTCCTAAAGCGAAACTCTCCATGCACATGATGGAAGGTTGCTAAAAATAATCCTTAAAAACCCCGATCTGTGCATATTACTGTTCTCTCACATATGTTTGCAGTGCAGCTAAATCCCTTATGACTTCTTGTTTGTAGGTGAAGAGGGAACTGGCGAGCGTTGTGATCTTCGAGTCACATGCAAAAGCTGGAACCGTGTGTGAGTTTTTCATTTTGTCTTGAATTGCATTTTTGTTTGCATAAATGATCGTAAAGCTGGGTTTTTTGAAAGTCTGGCACCATGGCAGTCATCTCATACAAAACTGAGACACCTAAGTCAGTTACTTTGATTCTTAACCTACATTTGTTTACATTGTGTTAACTTGGCCCCATTTAAAGCTGCAGAGTTATCAGTTAGCTATTTGTGTTTGAAATGTACTTATTCATGCAAAAACAATTACTGGATTACTTTTATCCTGAAGTATTAAAGATGTGATGATTCTGAAGAAAGATTGAGAGAAGGAATTTCTTTATTTAATGATTTCTCAGCAGATGTATTTTTGATGAACAGCCAGGACAATCACACTGAATCTATGCATGTGTGTATTATGTCTTTGTTCAGTTTGGACCTTTTTTACTTGTAGACAGAGTATGAATTTTAGACAAATTGCAGCACACGTCTCTCCTTCGATTCACACTTTGAAGACCTCTGATGTACAGGATATATTCTTTTGTCATGTTAGTGGGGTTGATATATGTTTGTCATCTTTATCTTCCAGTATTCAACCAAGGAGAGGAGGGCACATCATGGTACATCATTCAGAAGGGCTCTGTCAACGTGGTAATCTACGGCAAGGTGTGTCCTTGAATGCATCCACTTACATGTTAGAGTTGTGTGCTTCATTTGATAATATTTTAACAGCTTGTTATGGATTGAAAACATGTCTGTGTGGGGCGGACCAGCAGTGTGTGCCCTGCGGGGCTGGGGAACACCAACAGAGGAGTTTGGCAAACTCTGCACAGCTAACCATGACTCATCAGTAGGATTAAATGGCTTAAGGGATTGTACGCATACACTATTTCACACCACACACTGATTTACAACCACTGCACAGGCAGGGATGTGCTGCACATGCTCATGTCCGTGCATACACATTTATCACACATGCACAGACACAGACAAGTGCACATGAATCATCTCAGTCCTGAGTGCTCCTGCTGCTTCCTTATTTATCTTCAGGGTATTAGATGACAGGGAAACTGCAATGTGTCTGAACTTGTTTGTGTTTATTTACGTGTGCATTCATGTGTATGTGTTTCTCAGGGTGTGGTGTGTACGCTTCACGAGGGTGATGACTTTGGGAAGTTGGCCCTGGTTACGGATTCACCTCGTGCCGCCTCCATCGTCCTGAGAGAAGACAACTGTCACTTCCTTCGTGTTGACAAGGAAGACTTCAACAGGATACTCAGGGTAGGCAGAAGAGATGGACATTTATCCTGATGGGAAACAAATGTAGTACACATGCAACCAACTACTAACTTTGGTACAGTAAAAAGTCACTGCCAACGTTCCTCCTCAACCTATATTCAACAAAATTAAGTAAGATCCATTAAATGAAACACTATCTGAATGCATGACTTTGAGCCTCAACCTTCACTAATGGTTGATGCTTCCTGACTGTGGCGTCTGTCACCCTCTTCTGGTAGAGGAGCTGCAGTACATTCACAATAAACACATTTGTCTTTGTGGAGAAATATTACTGCTTTTATCCGTGCATCTTATCGTGTTTTCAGGATGTGGAAGCCAACACGGTGCGTTTGAAAGAGCATGAACAAGCTGTGCTGGTGTTAGAAAAGAGTCCTCGCACCTCCACCCTGGGAAGCATCAAGTATGTGTGTCAGTGCAAGGAGTGTTGTATGCTTACTTAAAAGTGTACAGTAGAAGGAATCCCTTCTGACATCACCCTTAACTCACCTTTTGCAGGTACACTGTGATATCGGGAACACCAGAGAAGATTTTGGAGCACTTCCTGGAGTCCATGAGGATGGACGTACATCAAAGTGAACCAGGTAGCCAATGCAAAACGAATGAATATGCTTTATAAAAGTGACTTTGATAAGTCAATCTTTACAGAGATTGCCCAGACATTCTATCAAATGTATCGCAATGAAAGAGTGAAGGATTGAAAGAAGGAAAAGCAAGCTAAATGGATACATTATAAATGTCATGTTCAATTCCTTTTGATTATTTCCTTCCTTTTCTGTCTGACTCTCTTCCCATTTGCCATCTGTTTTTATTTTCATCTATTAGACCCGGCGGTGGATGATTTTGTCCTGATGCACAGTGTCTTCATGCCCAACAGCCAGCTGTGCCCTCTACTCATGGCACAATATCCTTTCCGCTTTTACTCATACTGATTGTGATACCCTGTAGGTTCACTCACACATTTAGAACTGTTGACAACTCCTCTCAGAAATGGAAGGACATGTTTATTGTTTACTGCATACTATAATAGGGTTACTCACAGCTTCTTGGATTGTGTAATTTAACAGTTCTTTTTATAGAAGCACTGCAGCAGCAGTTGACCATACAATAATGAACTGTTCACAGAGAGAGCACTTCTTTTCACACCATGTCTGTTAAGTGCCTATCAATCGCCAGATGAGGTAACACAATGGTGATTGAGCCTTGGACCCACTCAAAAAAAAGACCTTGCATTCACAGTTTTACAAACTGGGTGTCTGTTGCAAACAATTCTGGGTAAAATCTTGACCTGCATGTGTTTTTATTTCTGGTTTCTGTTAGAATTGCATGTGAACAGTTAATATGGAGGACAAAAGAAAAGTGGGAGGACTACAGATGACTTCCAGAGTCAACGAAACGGAGATCTCAGAGACTCTAACTTTCAATAAAGACATCTAATACTGTGGTTGTACAGGATTTGACAGAAAGTGGATATCCCTGTCTCTCTTTTTGCTACGTCTTTGTATTTATCTTTAACCCTGTGTGCACCTACCATGCGGCGTCCCCCCCCGGCTCTGAGCAGGAGAGGTTGGAGTATGCCCTCAACAGTAAGAGGAAGGCCCTCATTCTGGCCCTGCGCTGGGCTAACTCGCACACCTACCTGCTACAGGAGGAGCCTGCGGCAATCACTTTTCTAGAGGTGACCAAAAGCAAGCTTTTAAATGCAGGAAACGACATACCTTATTATATCACACGCATGTTCTCAATACCGTTCTTCTTCTCTGTCCCTGTAGGAGTTGTATGGGAGTGTTTCAAACGATTCTCGGATATTGAGAGGTTTGAAAGACTTCATTCCTGACCTGGAGAAAATCGTCAAATTACAGTACGTTTTCCCACTTTAAACTGTCACTGTTACGTTGTATGTATAAGCTATATTATTGTATCTTATGTGTGTTTCTTATTGTAGTTCGGAAGAAGCAAAATCCCTAAAGAAGGTATACCAGACTACATTTGTTTTAACAACATTTCCATTGTACTTGTTTCGCAATGTGAAGGCTTGAATGCACACTGTCTGATATATTTCAACAGAAAACCTTAATACGACAGTTCAGCAACGGAGAGGAAAGGCTGCAGAAGAAACAGCCTATTAGGAATCACGATGACAGTAAGTTGGTGTGTGTGTCTGTGTGAACATATATATATTAATATTTTACTCTGAAAGATCATTTGACAACGGTTTGCTGGTCTACCGTGTCTGTATTTTAGTGTGGATATCCATCTCCAAACCAGGCAAATTTCATATTTTGATAATTGTGTTTACTCGTAGGACTTTCAGTGTCCTTTTTTTTGCATCTCTATCTTGTAAACTTTATTGTAACAAATCGGAATCGCTCACAAACCATAGTATTGTATTTCTAATGTTATTTTTTTTTGTGTGTGTGTGTAGTCCTATTGAAGGTGTACTGCAGTGATCACACATACAACACTATCCGGGTTGCCGTGACAGCGACTGGAAGAGAGGTGGTCAGCGCTGTGGCCGACAAGCTGGGCACCACCGATGAGCTGGTGCTGCTCCACCTGGGCTCTGCAGGTGAGGAGAATACAGACACATCTGGATATGAGGGAGCACTTCACAGCAGCGTTACCTAAAGACAGATTATAAATCAGTTCAGGCACTGATTGCTAATATTTCCTCGAGCAGGATGAAAACGGTTTCACTCTTTTACTATCCCTGTTTTTGTTACAGAAAAACAAATGGTGAAGCCGAATGACGTTTCAGTGTTTTCTACTCTGAGCATCAACGGCAGATTATTTGCTTGCACCCGAGACCAGCTCAACAGTTTGGTAAGAGATTCATATTGTCCCTGTTTACTTAAAATGTGTGCATTTCTTTAAAAAATGGATTCAAAATATAACATTCGTGCAGCCTTTGTTGTGGTTTCATGTGATTGTGACGAAACGGAAAGGATCATCAAAGCAGAGACAGCTAGGCTTTGAGCTAATGTTAGGCTAAATGTTAAACATTGATTTTGTTCAAATGACATTGTTTAAAATTACCCACATGTGTAAAAATGTCTTAAATGTTATACATTAGTTGTTTAATATGTTTGAATCTGTGCTCTGTGTCTTTTTTGTTCTTCAGTTTAATAGAGTTCATGCTCACAGTAAACAACTGAATAGAAGCAGTATTTACATTAATAAGACAAATAAATAGATATATGCATCAATTATTGTATTTCATAAAAATATACATGTGTCTATATAAATGTACACATCCAAAGACCTTGCATACAATTTATTAATGCAAAAATGTCATAAAACAACAAAATACAACACAGACCACACTTAGACTGGGAAAATAACACAAGCAAACAAAAAAAAAAAGTGCTTATGAATGTGTGTATTTTTGTCTGTGTGCCTCAGACTCCTCTTCCAGACCAGGAGGGTCCCACTGCAGGCTCCATGTCAACCTTTGAGTTGATGAGCTCTAAGGACCTGGCTTACCAAATGACCATGTTTGACTGGGAGCTCTTCAGCTGTGTGCATGAGGTATCACAAACTGTATGCACATACACACACCTAAAAACAATCCAAGGCCAGTAGAAGAACACAAGCATGTAGTGTGTTGCCTCATTTACACTTTGAAGTATATACAGTATAACCTTTAACAGCAATTGGGGTATTTACAGCTCTGGTGATGTATCATTGTTCATGATAAAAGCCCTGCAGGAGAAATGCTTGATAGATACAATGTGGCATTTCCTGCTGACTGGCTTAGCTCCAACCCTGCTCCCCTTTAATGTCCCCCCCCCCTCCTCTCCCCAGCATGAGCTGCTCTACCACACGTTCGGCCGGCAGAGCTTCAGAAGAACCACGGCTAACCTGGACCTGTTTCTGCGGAGGTTCAACCAGGTCCAGCTGTGGGTGGTCACTGAGGTTTGCCTCTGCTCACAGCTCAGCAAGAGAGTCCAACTCCTCAAGAAGTTCATCAAGATAGCAGCACAGTGAGTGGGACCTGCTGCGACTGTCACACTTCAGACGCAGGCCGCTTTGCACACATACACTTCATATCTTGCTTTTGTGTGTTTTGTCGACAGCTGTCGGGAGTTTAAGAACCTGAATTCATTCTTTGCCATCATTATGGGCATGAGCAACCCCGCTGTCAGCAGATTGAGCCAGACGTGGGAGGTAAACTTAATCTAATCTGCCTCGATCTAAAGTACCTTGGATATACAGTATTACACTTTCACTAAATTGCTACATTCATGTCACTGAGGTCTTTTGTGTTTCCTGGCAGAAACTACCCACCAAGTTCAAGAAGTTCTATGCTGAGTTTGAGAGTATGATGGTGAGTTATATGAAATATAATTCACTTCAATTGAATTGGGGTGGCAACAGAAACCTATAGATGTATGTACAGTAGATGCATATCCTTAAAGACAACTAGCTGTATCACTAGAGATGAAAATGATTTTTTCTTTCACAGGACCCGTCAAGAAACCACCGATCCTACCGCCTCACTGTCACCAAACTGGAACCACCAATCATCCCCTTCATGCCGCTCCTCCTCAAAGGTACGGCAGAGCACATTAGTACTCCAGTCATGGAATAAACCTTCAGAGGAACATGGCTCTAATTAACCTTCATTATTTTCTTGAACAGATATGACATTTACACACGAGGGCAACAAGACCTTCATTGACAACATGGTCAATTTTGAGAAAATGGTGAGTTTGTGTGCCCATTTTAAAGGGCAAATGACTTATCTTAAGGGCATGTTTTATTCTCTCGTCTCTCAAGTTGTTGTAATATCTAAAGAGCCTCTTATCTTTTCAGCGTATCATAGCAAACGCAATTCGGCAAGTGAGGCACTGTAGAAGCCAACCATTCAGTAAGTCTGTTTATTGCTTTATTGAATTACATTCCCATGCTGGATTTAAACGTGTCTTACCAATGAAATCCCCTTTTCTCCTGTTTCCTCTTTTACTGCAATAGATCCCGACATATGCCAACCCAACAAAAATCAAGCGGAAGTGCGGGGTTACGTGAGGAAACTCTGCGTTATCGACAACCAGAGGGCGCTGACGCAGCTCTCCTATAGGCTGGAGCCTCGGCGGACATGAGCTCCAGAACTTCCACCGCCATCGCCTTCTCTGTGACGTTAGCATTTTAAAAAACCACACACGCATTACCTGGATAAAGTAACTCAACACGACTGGCAGTTCAGTAGCAAATCACAATGACTTTAGAACTATGATGGATGACGGACTTATTACTGTGCCATTAAAAGCCTCTTCTTCCTGGACAGACAGAAACTGTTCAGCTGCTCTCTCGTCGCCGTGTCTCCGCCCCCGGATTGAGGGTCTTAACCGTACTAGTTGTTATTGTTTGGGACCTGTTAGATAGAACTGTAATGTATAGAACTTGAATCGATTCCCTGCATGACTGAACTTTGTGTTCTATACAGTGGATTTCTATCGGAGTGTCCTGTAATGTTGTGCTACCCCAGATGAGATCTAGTTTACAATATATTACTGTACCTGCCTGTAAAGCAAACCTTACTCTCCTGATTATCCTACTCATAGACAGAAAACACCATAAACTGTAGAAACCTAGACTCTTCATTTCCCTTGTTGACTATACAGATACAAGTTAAATACTTATATACTTCATAATCTACATGATTATATCCAAGTCTTTGAGGATCTTTAGGATTCGATGTCCCTTTTATTAGTCAGACGTTCAAAACTACTAAACAGAGTATTAGCTGGATTAAAGCCCTAATTGTATTGCAAACAGTGTTCAAATTTGTCACTGCGGTATTGCGTTTTATTATTCTATCGGGCTGAATCTCCTGTAGGACATGAATTAATCTAGATGATGAGGCTGCTTGGTATAATGTGTTCTGAGATCACTTGCCTTTCCAAATTGTACTTCTTTGATTTGGAAGCACTGATCCTCGATGCTGGGTCTTAAAGGCGTCTTGTACTTTGAGGGGGAATCTTGTCATCTCAGTCCGTGTAATTTTATTTTTATATATATGTGTGTGTGTAGATTGTGAGTGTGTTCTTGACAAGTGTCATTAATTTTCCTTTGATCTCAGGAGCTTCTGATGTGATGGTGTGTGTTGAGAGGCTGGCTTTCCTTAGAGCAGCCTGTAACTGTGCTTGTATGTGTGGTCTGCCTTGTAAATAAAAAATAGCTAATTTAACAGTGCTTATGCTTTGATGACCTTCTTAAAAATGTGTTGACTAAGGAGGGTGAAGCATATCAACATTTACATACTCGGATTGGATTCAACTTAAAAGGACGTTTCACACATTTCAAAGTCATTTTGCCAGCTCTAATGAGTGGGAGATAGCAGATGTATCCTGCTGCAAAGGGAGGTAGCTGTAGCAGATCTGAGGAAATAGGACCTATTTTGTTTTTTACAGAAAGCCTGCTCTCTTAAGAGTCTTGTGTTTTTTGGCATGAACCGTGTTTCAATCTATTCATCATTATGCATATAAATACACGAGACATTTTCTTTTCAATGAAAGGTAGAGCTTTGCTTGCAATATGAGGATTAGAAATAGAAAATATTGTGCACAAGTGTTGGGAGAAATGGTCTACTACTACTAGTGAGTCAAGCTGTAAACTGACTTCCATGCCCCCCTGATGACCTCTTTCTTAAAGAGGTCAAAACCCAGTTCACAGATTTGTATACACTTTGATGCATGCTTCCCACAGGAGGAACCCTTTGAATTTGATTGTTAGACATTATTCTCCCTGAGCATTCCTCTACTATCCGTATGATTCCAAACTTTCCACTTGCAGACAAGATATTTTATTTTGTACCTGAATGCTTGGCTTATGCCTGCTCCTCAGAGGAAGAACCCTTATCCTCTTACAGTCTCTGTTCTGTAGTGCTAACTGAGACACACATATAGTTCTTGGACACGTTTGTACTATGGTGTGTAATGATTCATCACAGCTTCTAGGAGTCATGTTTTATTTATGCAATGAATAACTCATGTGTCCTCTTGCACTTCATGACCGACTGAGAAGCGTCCTAACTTCCTCGGGCTGATCTCACCTGTCCCTACACATTGATGTCAGCACGGCTATCTTGCTTGATGTCGTCACTGGGTCATTCCTGTCAGTCTGAGTAACAATAAGCCCCTCCCTGGCTTCTCTGGTGAGTGAGTGTTTGTTTTTAGAGGTGTGTGTGAGATAGATTTAGGTATCTCAGGCTGTCACCCTCGTAACTGATTTGCAATGCCCGACACTGTGTCAGACATAGTAAATCAGTGACACGCTATAGGCCAGAGAGGTGTGTGTGTGTGTGTGTGTGTGTGTGTGTGTGTGTGTGTGTGTGTGTGTGTGTGTGTGTGTGTGTGTGTGTGTGTGTGTGTGTGTCTTTATATAGCCACAGTTATCCAGGAAGAAGGAATGCCCTGGATGCCAGTGACCATATTTGAACGGTGTGTCTGCTACAGCCTGAATGCACATTGAACGTACACACTCACCTCCCATTAATCCCCACTCTTTTTGTGTGTATGATTTGTACTGTAGTTCCACTGGATCACCACTATCAGGCAATGTAATACCTTCTCTGGTCTAGTAGGAACAGGGGAGCTTGGACTTTTCCTGACTCACAGGGAGCAAACTTCTCTCTCTCTCTTTCCAGCACTTTCTGGCTTCTTCTCTGACAGTCTGTTCCGCTGACTGACAACATCTACTCTGACCCTGTGGAGGAAACTATCCCGCCTCTCCTTATTTCTTATCCTTCACTCTCTACGATCTGATCTGGGACTTGTACACTTTTTGGTAGTTGAGCTTGCACTCCCTTTAGTCTGTGTGTGTGTGTGTGTTAGTGTGTGTGAGTGTATGTGTGTGTTTGTATGCTAGTGAGTCAGTATGCCATGTCGTCCCCTGGCTCGTCGTTTGTGCAGATAAAGCATGAGGATCTGCTTTTCTATGAGAACTGTGGAGGAGGCAGCTTTGGGAGCGTCTACCGAGCCCTCTGGATATCCCAGGACAAAGAAGTGGCTGTAAAGAAACTTCTAAAGATTGACAAAGAGGTAAGGGATGCACCGACACACACACACACACACACACACACACACACACACACACACACACACACACACACACACACACACACACACATAAACAAATCACGAACTTCTGCAGCAGAGATGCACACAAACATAATTTCCTAGAAGTTATTGACACCTGAGGCATGTTACTGCTCTCGTTTCTTGCAATTTCCTAGATTCTCTTTGGACACCCATAGCCCCCTCTTTCCCAACCCCCTCCTCC